CACCACACACCTCCCTCACAGTACTACAACACACACCCCACTGTAACAACACACACCTCCCTCACTGTACTCACATGCATGATATCATCACCTTCCCTTCTACTCACCCGCAGAAATCACCACTTTGACTCTCACTCACATTCAGACATCATCACCTTTCCACTCACTCACTCACCTGCAGACATCACCACCTTGCGACACACTCATATGCAGATCACCACCTTGCCCCTCACTCACCCGCAGACATCAACACCTTGCCCCTCACTCACTCACCTGCAGACATCACCACCTTGCCACACATTTACCTGCAGACATCACCACGTTGCCACTCACTCACCTGCAGATATCTCCACCCTGCCACTCACTCACCTGCAGACATCATTACCTTGCCACTCACGCACAGACAGACATCACCACCTTGCCATTAACTCACCCGCAGACATCACCTCCTAGACTATCACTCACCTGCAAACATTACTACCTTGCCACTAACTCACATGCAGACTTCACCCGCCAAACACACACCGAAACTACGAAGTTGGTACAACGTTCGAACAAGTTTTAACACCTCCTAACCAGTTAACAACCAATATAGCAAGTTGTAACAACGTTCTAATACGTCATAAACACGTTAAGCCAAGATGTAACAACTTTATTACAAGTTGTAACAAGCGGAAAATAGAGACAGTTTCGGTTTGTGTTTCCAGGGCATCAACTTCCCACTCACTCCAAAAATAAAAATGTCTAAAAAATATATATCTTCTACTTACCGTCGTTCAGCTGAAGTGATGTAATGTTGATAGTTTGGCAGAGGGTGACTGGTTGTTTGACTATGGTAGGCCGGGGGATCCCACGGGGCAATTTTTCTGCCTTTTTGGGTTTCTGTTTACCACATTTCCCATTTTAAAATTCCTCTGTCAAAATTTAAAATCTCTCTTTCAATTTACATATTGGGATATCACTATTGGTTTTAGCATTTCGAGCAATGTGAAAGATGCGTATGTACACACACATATGCGAGTCATTATACATGTCTGTCGCAAGTAAATACGCATCACACATATATTTTGCACGTAAACAGTGGCTTCAGTTACCTGGAAAATAATCTTGTATCACCACATTCCCCTTTAACTTACTAATCACCACTAATATCACTATCAGCAAAACAAACACGTTCTCACTATTTCAACACATTTAGTATCACGAAGCAGCTAATCTGCTCCATTTATCAACACAAATCACATCTCACTCCACTGCAATTCAACTCATCAGCTCATCTTAAAACATCGCAACCAATCCACCAAAAATTTGCTGTGTTTTAACTCAAATTTGAGCACCGTTATATTGACGTCTTCTCAGTATCGACGCGTGGTTTACTATGTTCGAACGTTTCTGGCGAGGTAAAAGTGAATAACAGTGAATTTACAGTGAATAAACGAACACAATAATGTACGCACCGACCGCCAATACTCACAACACTCTCGGATAATCATCACTATATCAACAGTCAGCACGAACCGCAATACCCGCAATGTTCCCGCATTTCGATAACAATCGTATGGTTGTTAGCCGTGTCGTGCTGAGAGAGCTTGTCATTGCTATAGGCGAAAAGGGAAACCTGGGGCCAGATTCATGAAAGCACTTACGCAAGCACTTACGAACCTGTACATCTTTTCTCAATCTTTGTCTGCTTTGTTTGCAATTATTAAACAGTTAATGAGCTCCGAAGCACCAGGAGGATGTTTATAACAATAACAACAGTCGATTGGCAAGTTTTCATACTTGTAAACTGTTTAATAAATGTAACCAAAGTCGTCAAATATTGAGGAAAGATGTACACGTTCATAAGTGCTTGCGTAAGTGCTTTCTTGAATCTGGCCCTAGGCTATAAGAACTTCATATTCCAACATTGGAGACGGTCGGCAGAGCCATCTAGGAATGGGATAGGGAACTAAATACGCCCCAGAGCTTGTCATCAACTCAGGTTTCGTCACAATCGTTTCTGGCATTTAGGTAATCCTCTCAGGTGATGCGAGCAGAATAGCGCAAAGATTAATCACTGCTAAATTACTATTTAGTGATAAATCGCTAAAGAATAAGTTTTATCAAAATTCAAATTTTCATTAAATCGACATTTTGAAATGCTGAACAACCTTAAACAATTTCTGTCTTGAATTCAAGCTTCTTTGTGTAGTTCAAGGTAATTCAGAACCCCTTCTAAAAATTCCTACGAGTATATATAGACTCACTAATGATGATTAATGTAGAAACTAGCATGATTCGGTAATTTTGCATTAAAAATAGTTTATTCTCATTAGACACGAAGACGGAAAATGGAAGACCATTATAACTTTGCAACACCAATACATCACAGCGACAGGATCTTAAGGTGTTGGGCACCTCCGTCTCGCCTTATGGAGCTGACGAGTCGTTACTCTCAGGGAGCCGGTCGACCGAGCGGACACCATGTTGGACTTGCGATCTTGTAGTCCCGGGTGCGATCCCGGGCGCCGGCGAGAAACAATGGGCAGAGTTTCTTTCACCCTATGCCTCCTGTTACCTAGCAGTAAAATAGGTACCTGGGAGTTAGTCAGCTGTCACGGGATGCTTCTTGGGGGTGGAGGCCTGGTCGAGGACAGGGCCGCGGGGACACTAAAACCCCGAAATCATCTCAAGATATCCTGAAGATAACCTCAGATAACCACCCCCACACTGCCTGACACCCCGAGGGGGATGTGGGGGGGGGGGGTGTAACGACACCCTAGTGTAAATTACAAAATGGGGTACACAACCAACACCCTTCACTTAACACATGGTGAAGGGAGGGGGGTGTGGATTACACCACGTTGGTGTACCTAGCACACAGTGGCAGGAGGGTTTTATTTGTGGGGAAGGAGAGGGGATTCCACGAGTTTTGAGGTGGCAACATGCCTCCAATCACAGGCTGTGATTGAAGCCTCTAATCCCAGGCTTCAAACTCAACTGGGTTGTCAGGATATTTCTAAAAGACTTTAGAATTCCACGGTCTCAGAACTGTTGACCTAGAAGTAAATAGGTACCTGGAAGTTAGACAGCTTCCAGGTAGGAAGCAAACTTAGTTCACCTAGTTGTGCTTGCAGGAGTGGAGCTCTGCTCTTCGAGACGCCTCTCAACTGTAAATGAATCAACTGTTACTAACTACTAACTAATTTTGTAGTTTTTTCATACACACAAACACACACACACGTGTGTGTGTGTGTGTGTGTGTGTGTGTGTGTGTGTGTGTGTGTGTGTGTGTGTGGAGTGTGTGTCAAAATAAGTCGAGAGTCAGTACACTAGATAACCGACAGTTAGAGAGGCGGGTCGAGGAGCTAAAAGCTCGATCCTACTGGCACAAATGGTAAATAATAAATACACACTCCTCACACACACACACACAAACACACACAAACACACACAACCGATGCGCTAAACAATCGAAGACCAGAGAGGCGGGATCCAAGAGCCAACGCTTGATCCAGCAGGCACAAATAGACGAGTACAAATTGGTGAGTACAAAACTACATATAAATACACAAACTCACAAGTAAACTAACGCTACTCTGTAGTCACGTAAATTTTACCAACAAAAACAAAACAACGACAATTTAACAAATACACTTTGGTCATGAAAACTCTCGGACAAGACTAGCATTGCACCAGAAGACTTAACCTAACCCTCGGAAGCTTTTCGTCTGTGACATAATTTAAAGAATTTGTTCTCATTCCTTGAAGACCAACAGCAACAACGTGCCAAGATTTCTTACCTCAGAAACCACACCATTTGTTTACAGATGACAGGAGCAATATTTCCACCTTTCCTTATGCTGCCAGGGGCTCACAGCCTCCTGTAAACACCTAAGCTGTAAAGCCCTCGCTGCAGAAGCACTATCTAAACGTCTTCTCTCTGAAGAAGACCTGACGGTGTAAGACACGCTACTGGGTTGTCCCAGGATAAAACTTCTATGCGAACATGATATTCCTATGGCAACGGTCATCTTAAAGCCTATATCTGCTCTTCCTGGTCATCCTGAATGATGCCTGGAAGATGTTGGATATTATCTGTCTCAGACGCTGCAATATATTGCTCTCTGGCCGCGAAAAGTCTTTTTCTTATTTAAGTCGAAGCGGAAAATATGTATGGACATCGGGAAATACAAGAGAAGTTATTCTTGGGATGTCAGTGTCACAGCAATTGTGAATGTAATCTTATGAAGACAGACCCGAGAGGAATTCTTACCCTTTTTCTATATCTATTACAAAATTAGCATTTTTTATCTTATATAAATTAACTAATTTCTAAAAATATGGCATAATTTGTTTAAATTTTGATAACAGGAAAACTCGATTTCTGAGTTTACGTCTGAGTTTACGTGGCCTGCATCTTAGTGAAACCTCTTTGTTTAAGTGGCCTGCATCTTAGTGAAACCTCTTTGTTTACGTGACCTGCATCTTAGTGAAACCTCTTTGTTTAAGTGGCCTGCATCTTAGTTAGTGACGCCTCTGTGTTTACGTGGCCTGCATTTTAGTTAGTGAAGCCTCGTTGTTTACGTGGCCTGCATTTAGATAGTGAAGTCTCTTTGTTTACTGGGCCTGCATCTTAGTGAAGCCTCTGTGTTTACGTGGCCTGCATTTAGATACTGAAGCCTCTTTGTTTACGTGGTCTGTATCTTTGTCAGTGAAGCCTCTCTGTTTACGTGGCCTGCACCTTAGTGAAGCATCTGTGTTTACGTTGCCTACATCTTAATGAAGCCTCTTTGTTTACGTGGTCTGCATATTTGTTCGTGAAGCCTCTGTATTTACGTGGTTTTCATCTTTGTTCGTGAAGCCTCTGTGTTTACGTGGTTTTCATCTTTGTTAGTGAAACTTCTTTGTTTATGTGGCTTGCATCTTAGTTAGTGAAGCCTCTGTGTTTACGTGGCCTGCATCTTTGTTAGTGACGGTGTCATGTTTGTGAGAGTGGTATGTTTGGTGGTTCCTAGTACTCCATGCCCAGTGCCCAGTGCTCCAAGCCCAGTGCCCAGTAATCCAAGCCCAGTGCCTAGTGCTCCTAGCCCAGTGCTCAAACCCCAGTGCCCAGTGCTCTAAGCCCAGTGCCCAGTGGTCCAAGCCCAGTGCTCTAAGCCCAGTGCCCAGTGGTCTAAGCCCAGTGCCCAGTGTTCCTAGCCCAGTGCCCAGTGCTGCAAGCCCAGTGCCCAGTGTTCCATGCCCAGTGCCCAGTGCTGCAAGACCAGTGCCCAGTGCTGCAAGACCAGTGCCCAGTGCTGCAAGCCCAGTGCTGCAAGCCAAGTGCCCAGTGCTGCAAGCACAGTGCTCAGTGCTGCAAGCACAGTGCCCAGTGTTACAAGCCCAGTGCGGTAAGCCCAGTGCCCAGTGCTCCAAACTCAGTGTTCGTTATTATTTATTTATAGCATCGATATACCAGTATTGGAAGTAGACACAATGACTGTGCGTTTTGCTTGTTCCGGCGCACGGTCATTGCATCGGGGGGGGGGGGGGGAGGGGGGTCGAATTTAGTATTATTTTGTAACTTCTTTCTTCCATCATATATAATTTCGTACAATGGGAATATAAACGTTTCCCACTTAGTCCCTGAAAACGTCGTTCAAGGGGCTTAAAAGCTCGGTCCCTGTCTGGTGTGTTGTGCGTTGCCCCGGTGACCCTGCACAGACATCGCTAAAGGTCAGTGACGTCACCCAGTCTTCATCTTCCCTGTATATGATCGTTTTCTAACATGGTGTATTTATTCCCATCCCATACTTATCTGCAAGTTATATATTTATAGTGTCCAGACCAAGGATCGTTTATTGAACATGGAAATTAATGAAATCCACTATCCATTTCGTATGAAACAAAGGGGAGCACCACAGAGTATGAAGTAATATGTATCACAGCATTCACTCCTGTCACTAAACCAATATTTACCCAGGTCTTTTTCCAAAATCTAAAACTTTTCCAATATATACCCATTGCTTCGTGTTCTGTCTCGTGTTGAAACTTTTAATAGGCTATTAATATCCCTCTTTGTCATGTCCATTCTCTCACACCTCTATCATGTCACCCCTAAATTCTTTGCCTTTCTAGAGAATATAATTTAACCTTTGTCAATCTTTCTTCAGATAATCACTTATCGAGCACAGGGCAAATAAAATTAAAATCCTCTATCTCCCATTCGTATGAAGTAGACCCCCATGTGTACGTCTCACATTCGCTCAAAAACCTGCCCCCCCCACCCTCCTGTAGCATATAACAAATCAAAATATTCATTCAGTGTACATGTAAATGAACTAGAACAAGTAGAAGCTGCTTCACATGTTTTAAAATAGGCCTTCTGCAGTCACTTTCATTCTGACGTCATCATACCCAGTGCCGTTTGATCCACCATGCGGTTCCTAGGAAGGTATCCACCTCTCATTAGTACAGACTCTTACTCACTCTCAATACCTTAACTATTCTCTGTAGGTGTCATCACAGGCAAAGCTCTGATATCTTGTAGTATTTTCCTAATGCCTTTTTTGCTCATATTTTCGCTCATTGCTCATATTTTTTCTTGTATTCAATTCACAAGTCCTGTCAAACCAACCTAACCTAACCTAACCTAATATAAACAAAATGCATTCTATAAAAATAGAATGCATTTGAAATAGAACTCTGGCCATAATGTCTCTAGTATAAGTCAACAACCTGTTAGATCAAGATAGTTCTACATATCAGTGTTTGTATAACTATGAAGATGAAACATAACTAATGAGATGAATCAGAATGTAAGTAAATACACAGACAGCTCTTATAAGCCATAAGAGATCTTAACACATTCGGGATGTGGTGTGAACAATTGCTATCCCAAATCCTTATCCTGATCCCCTTCCAAGTGCTATATAGTCTAATGGCTTGGCACTTTTCCCTAATAATTTCCTCCTTTCCTTTTGAACCTTTAACCCAATCAAATACAAAGCTATAAAGAGAGGAACTGGATAAACAAGACCTCTAAAGAAGCATATGATGAAGCTTAGATTGATTCTTACATCATATTAGAAAAATAAGGTATGTGAGACTCGCTCCTAATAATGCAGCCCCAGCATTGAAACCCTCGAGATATATGCAAAAACAAAAGGGTTTGGCGAGACGGGGAAAGCATGATTAATTTTAGAACAGAGTAATATGGGGTCTTGGTGGAAAAGGTAAACGTAATCTTGCAGAGTGAGGTATTGTAACACCTGGCAGTGTTGTGAGGCGCACTGAGACGCAGGTAACATGACTTATGCTGATAAGGAAAGGGGGTTGTGATAAGTGGTTGAGGTAAAGGATTTTGATAAGGGGGGGGGGTTAGGTAAGGGGTAAAGGGGGGTGGGATGTTGGGATGACAATTAGCATGGTTACAGATCTTATGACAGCTCAAGATTGCTGTAAGCAGCGTGTTACATATAATCATATCTTTATGACCCTTGGCTAGGTTACACTGCCTATCCAATACTGAGGTATGATCACATCATACACAAGCCATACTTGGTGTATGTGGGGGTCATAACAACGAATAAAATCCCTTTTAATTGCACAAACTGGACGAATAAAATCACTTTCAACTTCACAAACTGGGTGTATAGAATCAATTACAACAAGAAGGGAAACCTAAGGGAAGTAATTCGGTTTCACTGGGACAAGATGGACACACAGACGACCATTTACTTGGAAAAAGATAGAATAACAATTGTCAAACTCTCACCTGGGTTACCAGTCTCAACGTGGGCTTTCAGCTAATGGTTCTGCAGGCTCCCAGCGAGATGGTGGGAGGGTGAGACTCCCACTGTGTTACAGCCTGGGATGGTAAGGCTCCCACTTTGGTACAGCCTGGAAGGGTAAGATTCATAGTGTGAATGATATTTTCCCCAATAACAAGTTAACAAAAAACTCAATATTATTCTCACAACTATAAAACAAATATATAATGTCTCAGCAGAGGTTATACTGTAGTGAATTTAAGGCCATTTTAATTGAAAACTTCAAAGAGATGAATTTCGCACGGAACCGTTTTATCATATTGTTTTTAAACCGGAAAATTTTATGCAGCGTTGAAATAGATCTTTCGCGTCTTTGTTAAGTGAAGCCTTTCCCATGTAGACTTGGGAATAAATATATTCAACAACTAACAATGCGTGTCATATACCCGTTGTTGTTCTCAATTTTAATAACGTTGAAGGTACATTTTATGTAAAAGATATTATCACGAGGTAAACATATGTTTCAAAGGGGTATATGCACTGTATATACCCCTCTGTGTATATTCACAGTGCATATACACCGATATAGCAATCTTCTCGGTGAATATACATTGAGAGTTTAGTCCTGGACTATATTCAGGACGGAACTATTCTTGCTGCTTTGACCAGTAAGATTAATTAATAACCATCCAGAGGTTGATAGGTGTTAAACCCAACACCAAACGTCGCTTTCCGACTGAATGTCTTGTAAGTTCAGTGTCTTAGTATCTGCCATTCGGTCCGTTAGTATCTTCAGCGTGTAATTGTTGCTGCATCGATTATGTGTTATTGTTGCTCTTTGCTCTAACTTCACTCTTCTCCAAAGTTCTACTTTTCGCAACCACTTCACTAAAGCTCTGTTCTTGGCAGCAGCTGCACCAAAGCTGTTCTTTTCAGCACAACTTCAACAATGATTATCCTTTACGTCACATTCTCTCCACAGCAAAATATGTTCCTATATAAGTGAACTTCTCTGTGTTATTAATCAACAGAGCCTGAGACAGATTATAAGGGCACAATACTATCATCCTTTTGAGATGTTTTAATGGGAAAAATACTATTGCATGATGGGATTGAACTTGCGTCTCTGAACTCCCAAAAACCGATCCTGCCAACTTGACCATGATGAGCTTACAAGTATCTAAGTCAAAAGTTCTGCTAGATCTGGAGTTTGCAAGGCACCAGGTGGTAGTAAGCATGCGGCAATCCCGTGGGGTTATGGAGTTGTGCCCTGGGTGTCTAGTTGTTGTAGTCTAGTTGGATGCAGCGCCTGTTGTGGCTGTGAAGGCCAACCCGAGAATGGCAGTCCCGACTGCAGCGAGCGCAGATAAACGCCGAAGCGGGTGCGTCTGACAGTGGTCGAGACTTCCTCTGAAATCTATTATCCTCCGCCTGCTTCTTCAGTTCATCCCCGAATTGCTGGAGTCCCTTCTGCACTTTACATCTCCAGGCAGGTCTGTCCGCAGCTGCTGCCTCCCAAGTGTTGATGTCGATGTTCATCTGCTTGAGGTCGCGTTTGCAGGCATCTTTGAAACGCAGCTGAGGTCTTCCGGTGGGTCTCCTTCCTGATGCCAGTTCTCCATACAAGAGGTCCTTCGGTATGCGGCCATCGACCATGCGTGTGACATATACCAGCCATCGCATGCGTCTCTGTTTCAGCAAAGTTAACATTGAAGGGACTCCTGTTCTCTCGTGTACAGTGTTGTTGGTGACGTGGTCTTTCCACGTGATGTCAAGGATGCGTCTCAGGTTCCGCATGTGAAATGTATTAATTTGAGCCGTCTCTCCTGGCGAGAGCGCAGGGTCCAGGATTCTGAGCCGTAGAGAAGTGTACTCACCACACATGCCATGTAGACTTGTGCCTTGGTGTGTACTGTATTGTAGTGTGGGTTGGTGGTGTTGTCGTCGTTGATCCTTTCTGGACAACCCAACCCACAAGTCGGTAGAGTGCTTATACTTTACCAGGAGATCACACTGGGCGCTTCTGGCTCTTGGAGAGGGGCTCAACGTCACACATTTAGGGGATGCGGCTCCAACACTTAGCCTCGTTGTCACGTGCACACACCCACTCGAGCCGCTGTGACTCCCCACTCTCTCCTTATGAGATATGATCCCCTTAATCCCCTTTGACTTATTAGTATTACCTTCTACGCTGTCCACAGCAGTGGTTCTTGGTTCTTTCTCTCTCTCTCTCCTTCTTTACTACCACCTGGGAAGCCTCACTAGGACAAGGTCAAACACCAGCAAATTTGAATACATTTACTGGACAGAGCACATACACAATACATATACACATATAATAATAATGAATCCTACACTCTACACTATTTCAGTCAGGTTGCACTCCAACACCATCAGAACTCTATCCTCAGCTTATCAAGTGGTATCCTATCTCGTGGTTCACCACCTAATATTGCCAACCTCCTCAAGTAGGTCAGGTCCTGTAATACAATGATGTACTATCAGCAAGAGAATATATATATCTATAAACATGTACAAGGAAAATCAGCGTATGAGTGCAATAACATATATATATCAGTATAAGCGTTCCTTGATACACAACAATGATCCATCGATCACCCTATCAGTCCGAGAACACA